GAGGTGTCTTGGGGTTGGGCCAGCATTTCTGACCATAGGAATTCAGAATGTCAGGTCTTATAATCTAGGCCTGCTTTCCTCCAGTTACCAATCTGTACAATCTGCTGAGGAGTACTTTGTAAAAATAACTTTTCTTGTGTTGTTTTTACTAAGGCCTGTAAGCCTACCTTCCTGAGCCCATTCAGGCTCTTGCCCAGGTTCAGAGCATCACCCCACATCCCTGTTCCTCTCCTGGCAGTTTGCAGAACAGTCCCTGATGAAGAATGCCATAAAGACATCAGAGGAATCATGGATTGAACAACAAATGTTGGAAGACAAGAAACGAGCCACAGACTGGGAGGCCACAAATGAGGCCATAGAGGAGCAGGTGGCTCGAGAATCCTACCTGCAATGGCTGAGGGATCAGGAGAAACAGGCCCGCCAGGTCCGGGGACCCAGCCAGGTGGGTCATGGACTCTGTGACTGGCCTGACCAAGACCTGTTACTTCTTATCTTTTGGCCCCTAATGAACAGGGATAAAATATGGGAGAGGGAAGCTCCCAGCCCCATCGGTTACTCATCTCGTCTTTAGTCTTGGCATCGTACCTTGGAACTCTCAACACTTGCTTTTAAGAAGTAAAGGAGAGCAGCTTTTAAGAAACAAAGGAGAGCAGCCACCACTGCTGGTGGCACAAAGGAACAATGGGTAGCTACAAAGAGACCAGCTTTTTTTTTTTTTTTTTTGGAAACCCTTTGCATGCTGCCTTCTGTACTGAGGATGTAAAACCTTTTCCTTCACTGCCTTCAATGATCCTGTCTGTCGAGGAAGACAAGGCATTGTGGTGGGGCCAGTGACCCTGGCTGTACAAAACCAGGAGGAGTGGTGGTTTTAAGCAGTTGCTTTATTAGGGTGGGGAGGGGGAAGGCAGGCATCTGAGGAGGATTAGACGTTTGCAACAGCTAAACAATCTGTTCAGCGAGTATTTATTGTAGGCCTGTGCCAGGAAGGGAGGTCCTATTCCTAGTGCAGCAGGATATGTTTGTGGCCCTAGCAGGCAAGATCTCTGTCCTTAGGCTACTCGCTTTTTCAAAGTGAAATAAAATAATCATAATGAATAAATTAGTTGGAGGTATGGTAGATGAAAAATGGACAGTTGGTACAGGGGAAGAATGAGACTTGAGTGGGGCTGGTTTGAGTTCGCAGTATTAAACAGTTATGAGGTAGACCTCATCAGATGAGATGAGAAAGGGCTGTGTTGAGTATGTGGACAGAGCAAAGCCTGGGGTGGGGGTGCCATACTTGGTATAACTCAGACATAGCCTGGCGCTGAACAGAATGTACTGGGTGAAATCAAGGGAGTGGGACTAGGTTGGATAGGGGCTTGTGAACTCTGGAGAAGACTTTGATTTTGCTCTGAATGAGGCAGAAACAGTGAAAAGGAAAAAGGATTGGATGTGAGTTAGGATGTAGTAGGATCACCTGACTACTGAGTAAAACAGTCTAAGCTAGAAAGCAAGGGTAGAAGTAGGAGACCAGTGAGGAGCAGCCTACTAGGTAGTTCATGGTCGTGGTGTGGGGTCAGGATCTCTGGAAAAAAGAGTAGTGATTTTTCTCAGTAGCCTCCAAAGATTGGGTAGTGGTTAGGACTTTGCCTCTATTCCATTACGGCACCTTAAAGCTGTACTGTAGCCAGGACTCTGGAAGGGGTCTAAGCACTCTGGCACAGGAGGATCATAGCTGGGGTAGGTCCTTATCACGTTTTCCTTCCCTACTGCAGCCCCGGAAAGCCAGTGCCACATGCAGTTCAGCCACAGCTGCAGCCTCCAGTGGCCTGGAGGAATGGACTAGTCGGTCTCCAAGGCAACGAAGTTCAGCCTCGTCACCCGAGCACCCTGAACTGCATGCTGAGCTAGGCATTAAGCCCCCTTCCCCAAGCACTGTGTTAGCTCTTGCCAAACCTCCTTCACCCTGTGCACCAGGTCAGTGACTTGCTCTCAGGGTGCCTGCTTGGGCTAAGGCTCTGCTTGGTGGGCCCTACCTCAGACTGTTCATCTGCCTCAGGTACAAGCAGTCAGTTCTCATCAGGGGCTGACCGGGCCACATCTCCCCTAGTGTCCCTCTACCCTGCTCTGGAATGCCGGGCCCTCATCCAGCAGATGTCCCCCTCTGCCTTTGGTAAGCCTCCTTAGGGGATGGGCCAGCTGGAAGCTGGGAGAGCCTGGAGGATTTTTGAAGCTCCTGGGCATCTTCCCAAATGAGAGGCATGAGGGAAAATTTCAGGCCCAAAAGGTTTTCTCCACAGGGTTCTAGTGGGGTTTCACAGAGTTAAGGGAGCCAATGAGTGATTGGGACCTGGGTGGATTTTCCAGAGCCAGGGATTAGATAGGCATGAGGGAGAATGGGCTGAGGACCCCAGTCATCATTGTCCTCTTCTCTCTCCTGCCCAGCAGGTCTGAACGATTGGGATGATGACGAGATCTTAGCATCGGTGCTGGCAGTGTCCCAACAGGAATACCTAGACAGTATGAAGAAAAACAAAGTGCACAGAGACCCACCCCCAGACAAGAGTTGATGGAGACCCAGGGACTGGACACAATCCCCTGACCCCCACCCCCTCCACTCCTGCCCTTTGATGCCACCCAGCCTTCTTTGGCTTTCTTCCCTCTTGGCTTCCTTCGTTCATTTCCTCTTATCCTTCTTTTCCACTCCCCTCTGGCTGGCCCACTTATGCGCTCATCCATCTCATCCCTGCCACCACCACACTGGTCTCTGCCAGCTGATGTGCTCTGTTGCCCCCTGCACAGCACCATCTCAGCATTCCACAGGGGACTCTGGAAAGGGTGCCGAAGGTAGGCGAGAGGCACACAGAGACAGACCATGTGGCATCCAGGCAGCCCCCGAAAAGAGAGACACTGAGACAAAGGGAGTCTTCTGCTCGCCCTTCCCTACAGATCAGAAAAACTTGCCGCACCTCTGCATAGTGGTGACAGGAAAGGCGGGAGTGGGAAATTTTCCTTCCTAGTACCCCAAAAATCTGAGCCTTCCATATTAAATTTTTCTTTATGAAATGTACTTTTATCTTATAAAATCAAGAACCGTGTTCGTGGCAACACTGGCTCCTTGACGATGGTATCTCCGGTTTGGAGACAGTCAAGCTAGCCATGGGGCATGGTGGGCAGGCAAAGAGATGAATTTCTGCTGTCTTCTGGCCTCCAGCTCTTTGGAGGGGTTGAGGATATGAGCCAGAGGAACGTGGCAGGGTTGCAGTGGCAGACTGGCTTTGGACAATGAACCCTGACCTTGCTGCATTCCTTTTGCTTCCACCACTAGTCTGTTTGGACTCTTGAGGTGGGGGTATCTTTGGAGATCATGGCTGCTACTCAAGATTTGAGTTTAGGGAGTTGGAGCAGCCTCCACAGGTGGGGCGCCTGTGCCCTGCAGGTGTTGACAAGATCCACCATCTGTAATGTCCTTGGCACAATAAAACCAAATGTCAGTTTCCCTGAGCAACTCTGTTCTGTATGGGGCAGGGGTGGATGGGCCTCTGGGAAGCACAGAGTTTGGCTTGCCCTGAGTTCTTGTTCTCCAGTAGGTGCTGTCTGTAGGCTGGGGTTCATCTTTGATCTGTTTATTAAATTAACTTGCCAGGTGCAATGTATGTAGAGCCTAGGCAGTTGAAACTAACCTAGGCCACATAACCAGGATTCTGTTTAACAGAACCAGCAACAAGAAACCTCTTCTAGAACTGGGTCACGCCTTTGATCCCAGCACTGGGGAGTCAGAGGCAGGTGGATCTATGACTTTCAGGCCAGCCTGATCTACATAGTAGAGTTGCAGGCTGGCCGGGCTACACAATGAGATGCTTTTCTCAAAAATCATAAACTTCCTCAGTAGCAAATCTACTTTGAAGCCCTTACTCCCACCTAACCAAATTTCTAAATGGGAGCCTAGGGATAATTATGGACTGTGTTTGAGCTAAAGGCCATGACTAAATTTTGTTTGAATTTCCACTCTCAACCTTAATGTTCATTCTTGTGATAATCTATGAAGAAATAAAAACAGTTGATAACAAGCTACATGAGTTTAGTGAAAGTGACCAGAGGTGGCCCCTGCCTGACTGGGTTTCATAAGCTAGAGAATGAAGTGGCTAAATCATTTTTTATTGTTTTCTTCCAAATTCTATTGACACCTCTGTCCATCCCTCCTTGGGTTTGTAAAGCCCAGGTTGAGAAGGCTGGCTGACCTTGAGATTTTCTCAAAACAGTATTCTCCCCACCATGCCTCAGTGGGGTCCTTGCAGAAGGCTGTGTGTGGTGGCCCCACAGGTGAGGGTGTGGTTTGCCCAGTGGGCTGCTGCAAGGTATCTGAAATACATGGTCAAGCATGAGCACACCAAGGAGGTTGATTTAAAATCTATCTGCATTTTCTAGCTGTGTGGCTTTGGGCTCTCTTTGAGTTTAAAGTGCCCCATCTGCAACTACAGGGGTGATTAATGTCTGCTACCTCATGCTCTCTGATTTGTGAGTATTGACAGAGAATGTGTATGGTCAATAATGTACTACTGGGCACAGTACCTGGTACATTCTTAGAGCACAAATGTTTGGGGTTATTAACAGACTTTGGGTGGGGGTATTATCGTATTTTGTAAGTTTGTACCATTTGGCCTCAGCCTGCCTCTTGCTATTCTTGGCTTTTTCTTGCAATTTGCTCTAACCTATCTTCAGCTACCAACCTTATTTGTCTTTTAAAACAGAGGGGTCACCTGAGAAACCCCTGTGTGATCGATCTCATTCACATTCTCACTTCTGTCTACAACTACCCCAATAACTGTACTATAAATAAACTTCTGGGCTGGGGCTGTGATGCTTACTTATCTTGTTTGTGTGTGTCTTAAGATCTACCACTGCACTAAAGCCTGTCAGGTTCACAGTAGAACACCTAGTAATGTATGGATGAGTTAAGGGAAATGACATGTAACTGTTGTGCTTTGTGTGTATTGTCTGTCCTGTGACCACAGTGAATCTACCACTTCCGAGTATTTCAGTGTCTCTCACTGAGTGTATGTGTCTGTGTCCAATGAGGGCTTGTTTCCAGGTGTGTCAGATGGTGACTTGAGTGTGGGACTCTGCCTATGACAGTTTGTGTCTGGTATCTGAGAGAATTGCATGTTTGCGTGGGTCTGTCAGTGCCAGTGCATCTGTAGTTTGTCTGGATACTTTCAGTGATAAGACTGTGTTATCTGATAGTGTGTATGTGATTGGATCTATTTTTGTGACATTGCTTATCTATGTAGTGTTCATATCACTACATGCCTGCTCTGGAGCTGTGTGTGTGCACATGCGCGCACATGTGTAACATCTGTATATTCTTGTGACAGAATCTGGGTCCCTCATATCTGGGGCAATTTTTATGTATGTAAATGTGGGTATCTGGTGGTAATGGTGTGCTTGCAACAGGTTTGTCAGTTTCTGGTGGGACATAGGTATTAAATGGTCCCATGGGACAGTACAAGTAAAGTCGTATCATTGTGTTTCTGGGATCTTATTTTCTGGGTGTATCTTCATGTGCATCTAGGTCTAGAACAAGTCTGCCTAAATGTATCTGACTGTATCTTTCATGGTGGTTCTCCCTCCCTCTGTGTATGTCTGTGTGTGGGTGTGTGACTTCCACACACAACTGTAGGTCAGAAAACAACTTGTAGGGATCGCATACAGGTTGGCAGACTTGGGTAGCAAATACCCTTTCCCTCTGAGTCATCTCACCTGCAGTGCTTTTGGTTTTAAGTCACATTCTCACTATGTTCCCTAGTCTGACCACCGATTCATGGTGGTCCTCCTGACTCAGCATACAGAGGACTTGGGTTTCACATGTACCCTACATTGCCTAGCTTTCCATGTATCTTCGGAGTTGTGTGGCTGTCTTCCTGGACATGAGGCCCTCTGGATATTTACACAGACATGGCTGTTCACTTCTTCAGCCTTTCAGATCCTACCTCTTAAACAAGGACGTTGTAGTTCCCACAAGAACCAAGCCTTGTCATTATAGATTCTAGACCCCCTGACTGGGTCTAGTGCTAAGTCTAGCCAGGTTTGTGTAGGATAATGGCAATTAAAATCACCCTACAGGGGCCAAACTGCCATTGATGGCCCTGCTTCCCTTCTTGTCATGGTGGAGATAAATGTTTCCTTCCCTGAATAATGGAATAATGGACCAGCTCTTCTATAAGGGCCTGATTACAGTTTTGAGGCAAAGGATGCCTAAGCTTGGGTGAGAAACACCCTTGCATCATAGTACCATGCATAGCTCCAGGTTCTGATTGGGTTTTTTGGTTGTTGTTGTTGTTGGGGTTTTTTGTTTGTTTGTTTCCCGAGACAGGGTTTCTCTGAATAACAAGTCCTGACTGTCTCTAAACTCACTCTGTAGACCAGGCGGGTCTCGAACTCATAGAGATCCGCCTGCTTCTGCCTCTCGAGTGCTGGAATTAAGGTATGCGCCACAACCGCCAGGTTAGGCTTTGATTCTTAAAAGCTGGTTTGGCGTTGTCTCCTCACCGATCCAAAGCTGCAAAAGCGACGGCGGCAGCAAACCTGCATCCTAGGAAAGGAGGCTGCGCTTTCTTTTTTAAGTGTGTACACACACCCCACCACACTAACAACCAAAACAAACGGGGTTGTCGCAAAGGGATTCCCAAAACCTGTTCGTGAGTGCTTGTGCGCGAGCGCGTGTGTCTGTGTGTCTGCGCGCGCGCCCGCCCCCGCCCCCACATTTGCATACAGGCCCCGCCTCCGCGGAAGAACCTGGCATGTATTTGCATAAGGGACACTTGAAACGTTGGTGGTGGCATGCAAATAAGGACTGGCTCCGATTGGCCGGGGTACAGCAGGTGCCGTGTCCGGATTGATCAAAGCCAGGTGGGCGGGGCTGTCGCGCAGGGCGACTCTCCGGGAGGCGCGTGCCCCGGCTCAGTAGCGTTGGGGCTGGCGCGCGCGACGAATCTCAACGCCGCGCCGTCTGCGGGCGCTTCCGGGCCACCAGATTCCCTACCTTCCACCCTGGCGCCCCCCAGCCCTGGCTCTCCAGCCGCTCTGCCCCGGGCATCCACGCCCTGCGGGCTCAGCGGATTCAGCGGGCTCAATCTACGTAGCTCCTCCTCCATGTTGACCAAGCCTCTGCAGGGGCTTCCTTCGCCCCCTGTAACCCCCACGCAGCCTCCAGGTGAGCGCAATCTCCCCTGTCACAAGCAGATTGGGAGGACTGGAATGATGGGTGCCTGTGTGGGGGCGAGAGTCACGGCTGGGATCAGAGTACACCGCCACCCTGATTTCCTCGCCTCCGCTTGCGTAGGTGGCAAGAATCGGGCAGCTTTCGAGGCCGAATACCGACTTGGCCCCCTCCTGGGTAAGGGAGGCTTTGGCACCGTCTTCGCGGGACACCGCGTCACAGATAGACGTCAGGTATCCCCTAGAGGGGTTCTGGGAGGGTCAGGTGTTTTGGCGAAGGATGGTGGTGGGGGAACGGAGATGCCACTTGTTCCAGTGGGGAGCTTGCAAATGTGTAGTAGAATCATAAGGAGCAGGGTTGCTGTCTGAATCTATGTGTGAATGTGTGAGTGCGCACGTGTGTCTGCAGTCCAGGTGGGTATGGGGGTGGGCTGGAATTCTGGAAGACCGGGTATTTCTACTGGGAAGGGTGCAGATCTTCAGGACTGGACCCCAAGATCCATGGTATTTGCGTGCGTGCGTTCATGCGTGTGTGTTTGTGTGTGTGTGCGCGCGCGCGTGTGTACGTGTGGGGGGGGGAGTGGGGATTTTTTTGAGTAGGTGTTAAGAGTGGAGTCGTGAAAACAAGAATCCAGATACATAGTTGTTGTGTCCTGGAGATGGGTAGAATTAAGGAGGAGGGCTTGCGATGTCAAAAAACTTAGAATTTGAATGTGGGGATATGGGTCAATGGTGGGTCGTTTGTGCATCATTCACAAACACTGAGTTCAACACCAGCGTCACAGGGCGGGGGATGTAGGGAGACAGTGGGAAAGAGAAAACAAAAGAAAAAATACAGCTCCATTCTGGATTTCAGGGGGTCTTGATGCTTTCCCAACAAGAGCTCAGGAGTAAAGATGCTAGCTGGATGGACTTAACACGATTCTGGGGCCTTCAGAGTGCTGGATAGGCATCCAAGCTCCAGTGGGTGTGATACGTATGGGAACTAGAAATACTAGAGTGGAGAGACTGGAATTGGGCAGAGGGTCTAGACTGAGAAGAGTCTGGGATCACCGGCTGGCCCCCTTATCTCAGTATTTTTTCTAGGTGGCCATCAAAGTAATCTCCCGGAGCCGTGTGCTAGGCTGGTCCACCGTGGTGAGTGTCTTTGGTGTACGTCATGACCCGTGGACTCCATCACCGAACTCACCCCCTGATTTTTTCTAGGGGATGTATTCCCTGGGCCCTGAAACCGTGAGAACCTCACCAACCTGTGTTTACTGCCTTTATGTGATAGTTCTGATTTCACCTCAATTTGCCCAGAGCTCTGGATTCTCCTCTCAAACTCTCCTTTTGCATCTTTCTTCCAAACACTGCTTCTGGGGCTGTTCACAAGACATGCTGGTGGGGAAGGAGGGGCCTAGGTCACTGGTTGTCATGGTAATGCTGGCTGCTGCCTCTGCCACCAGGAGAAAGCTAACGGACATCAGGGCGGGTCTGGGCAAATTGTAGGTGAGAGCTCCCCCTGGCGGGCATTTCAGACAGTCTATGCCGGCCCTGGGACGGAGAAGGGAGGGCGAGCCTGCGCAGTAGCTGAAGAATTTGCGTCTCCCTGAGAAAACCTGTCTGTGACTGTGCAAGTTAGTGGGACTGTAATGGACCTCACCTGAGGCAACAAGATCCTTGGCACTGCCTGTATAGGTGTAGGGGGGTGGTGTTATTGAGTTGTGCTAGTTGAACTGACAAAACGTCGCGTTCATTGAATGTTTGCTCTGTGCCAGGTCCTTTGCAGTTAATCACTGTAAACTGTTTTTAACAAATGAAAGCCAGGATTGGTGGTGCATACCTGTAATCCCAACATTCAAGAGGCTGTGACACTAGGATTTCCGAGGATTTTTTTTTTCTTTCTTTCTTTCTTTTTAATTTATTTTCGAGACAGGGTTTCTCTGTAGTTTGTGGAACTAGCTCTTGTAGAGCAAGCTGGCCTGGAACTCACAGAGATCGGCCTGCCTCTACCTCCCGAGTGCTGGGATTAAAGGCGTGCGCCACCACCGCCCGCCGATTTCCGTGAATTTGAGGCCAGTTTGGGCTACATGGCAAGATCCTGTCTCAAAAATGAGACAAAGTTTAAAAGCCAGAGAACATCTATGCAGTGACATAATTATAGGCACTTTGCAAAGTACGACATTTATTCGAATTCAGTAGGTACTAGATCTCTTCTAACTGCTCTGTCCATCTCGCGTATTGAGTCCTTCAACACTTATACAATAATAGTAATTACTTTTCATTGCTAGCCTCTTTCCTATAAAGTACTTCCATTTAGAAACATTCATAGAGTTATCTAGTGTGCAGAAAAACTGCCCTGATCTGGATGTTGGCTAATAAGACAGGTAAATAGATCCCATGATAGTTCTTTTGCAGAGGGACTTAAATTTTAAATTTGAAAGCCAGGCATGGTGGTGCACACTTTAATCCCAGCACTCTGGAGGTAAAGGCAGGTGGATCTCTTGAGTTCCAGGCCAGCTTGGTCTATGTAGAGATCCTGTCTCAAACCCCCCCCCCCAAAGAAAACACTTTAACTTATTCAAATATTTACTGAGCTGCTACATGCCAGATGTATATGGCTTCTGCTCATTTCACTCTGATGGATTTGAGCCTTTGAAAGGATACTGAGAGGTCTGTAAAGGGAGATGGCTTGCCAAAGGTCAAAAACCAGTGCTCTGAAAATAAACTGCTATATTGACAGTAGAGCTCAGACTTACCATCTACCTTCTTTTTTTTCTTTTCACTTCCCACCCCAGTCAGACTCAGTGACTTGCCCACTTGAGGTAGCACTGCTGTGGAAGGTGGGTGAAGGCAACGGGCATCCAGGTGTGATACGCCTGCTTGACTGGTTTGAGACCCCAGAGGGCTTCATGCTGGTCCTTGAACGGCCTATGCCTGCCCAGGATCTTTTTGACTACATCACAGAGAAGGGCCCGCTGGGTGAAAGCCGTAGCCGCAGCTTCTTTACCCAAGTAGTGGCAGCTGTCCAGCACTGCCATGCTCGCGGAGTTGTCCATCGCGATATCAAGGATGAGAACATCCTGATAGACCTCTGCCGGGGTTGTATTAAACTCATTGATTTTGGTTCTGGGGCCCTGCTGCATGATGAACCATACACGGACTTTGATGGTAAGGATTCTTCCCTATAATTTATGCGGGGGAGGGGGCTGTTTTTAAGTCTTTAATTCTTCTGGCTTTTGAGCTTTATTGTTGGATTGTCCTTGTAGCCTTTGACCTGAATCGTACCCTTTAAGGTTATTGATTCTCAAGCCCAATTACAGTTTCTTAACCTTCTGGGCTCTTATTTTTTAGTGTGGGGATCTTGTTAGTGTTGGGTTTTTTGCTTGTTTGTTTGTTTGTTTTGCTTCTGGTAAGACAATCTTAGTGTTAACTTGGAAGTGCTCTTTTTAAGCTGTTCTGCTGCTGACAGGACTCTACTGTTAAATTTGAAGCACTACTCTCCAGCAAGGGATAGTCTCCTTTAATTTACAGTTCATACTTCTAGGGACACAGGGTTCGACAAAGGGCACCATCAGGGGAAGATCTAATTCTTGGCTTGTGTGCAGGGACAAGGGTGTATAGCCCTCCAGAGTGGATCTCTCGACATCAGTACCATGCCCTCCCAGCTACTGTCTGGTCACTGGGTGTCCTCCTCTATGACATGGTCTGTGGGGACATTCCCTTCGAGAGGGACCAGGAGATTCTGGAGGCTGAGCCCCACTTTCCTGCTCATGTCTCCCCAGGTGAGGCCCTCACTGACCCCACAGGCTTCCTTCCTCCCAGGACTGGGTACCCTTTGCTGACTGCTAATCTCCCTTGTGCTTCTTGACCCCACAGATTGCTGTGCCCTAATCCGCCGGTGCCTGGCCCCTAAACCCTGCTCCCGACCTTCACTGGAGGAGATTCTGCTGGACCCCTGGATGCAAACACCAGCTGAAGAAGCGCCCATCAATCCCTCCAAAGGAAGCACCACCCCCTTACCCTGGTCCCTGCTTCCCTAGGCCCAGCCAGGCTCTCTGGTTGGAATCCCATGGTCATGCTACAGGGATAGATGGACATCTGTTGACCTGGTTATACAGGTTGTTAAAGATCCAGTATTACTAAGGTCAGGGAATAAGGATCAGGGGTCAGAAGATAGCCAAGTCTGCCCAGTTCCTATCCCAATCCTGTGAAGGAGCTCTCCTCCCGGAACCTGTGGTCCCTTATTTGGGAGGGGGGAGTTACTTGTTTCTTGTTCTGTTAAGGATGTTTATTTGGTTGGATTCCTTCCCTTCTAGGCCCTATGATTCTTATTATGACATTGTAGTCCCTACACTGGCACCTCCTATACTACTACCACAAACTTAGACACTTAGTTTAAATGCTCTCACTCGGGCAAGGGTGCTTTCCTTAAATACCCCAGCAGCTCTTTAGCAAAAGGGCCCTTACCCTGGGATCTCAATTCAGTTGCTGCTTGCCTGCCTTAGCCCAGAAATGATTATTCTGGGGAAGGTAACACCCTATTAAGCCCTATTAATTAGTATCCCACTGCTTTTTTAATTTTAATTTTATTTTATTTTATTTTTTGGTGAGGGGACCCTATTGTTATCCCAAGTGCTCTTATTCTGGTGAGAAGAACCTTACTTCCATAATTTGGGAAGGAATGGGAGATGGACATCATCGGACACCACCAGAGACTAGGATGGGATGGTTTTGGGGGGATGGGATGGAGGAAATAAGTCTTACTGTTTGTTCTCCTGGGGTCCCCCCTCTCCAACTTTTGCTGCCTCCTCCTGAGCCAGGATTGTCCAGTGGTAAAGTGTAAATAATTATGTACTGGAGGTAGGAGAGCTGCAGCTGTGCCCTCCTGTCCCTTCTCCCCCTGCCTGGATTATTTAAAAAGCCATGTGTGGAAACCTATTTAATAAATAATGAAGTCACGAATGAATGGCCATTTATAGAGGAAGGCATTACTGGAGCATCTACTGCCTGTTGAGTTTAGATGGCTGGAGAAAAATTTCTGAAGAAAAACCAAGTCACAGAAGGGGGCCAGTCTCACCGCTTTTGTTTTGTTTTCAGATGGGGTCTTTCTGAAGCCCAAGCTAGCCTCAGACTTGGAGTGCTGGGATTTACTTGCACAAAAATAAATCCCAGGCTCCAACTGGAATTTTTCTAGCACTTTCTGTGTAGCTCTTAACTTGATTTAAATCTTAATTTGTCTTTGCCTTTCATGCCCCTCCTTTGCATCTTCCTCAGCTCACCTCCCTTGGTCTCTCTAATCCTGACGTCAATTGTCCTGAACCTGCTTCTCATTTTCCTCTATTACAGTGACTAAGCCTTCCCTACTCTAGTTCAGCAATGAATTCTATGAACCTAGCGGTAGGCCTATGACTCACTAGTCCCGCCTTCTTGAAAGTCCGATTCCTCCCAGTTGGCCTCCGGGCCTTAGAGGGCGGGACCTGGCTGGGTGGTGGGAATAGAACAGTTTCTGATGCGAGGAGGGTGGTGCCATCTGAAGGTTCCAATAAAAGCGGAGATGGAGGAACCACGGAACCAATGAAACCGCGGGACGGTTTGGGAAGGTGGTTCGGACAGTCGGGGTCAGTGAGGCGTGCAAACGGGAGGTGTGGGCCGGGTCTAGTGTCGCGAGCATGCCAATAGATGTGTAAAGGCTGTGGGAGATGGGTCTCCGGGGTCCTTGGTCTCCGGCTGATGGAATCTGGGAAGTCCGAAACCACCATTTTAGAATCAGGCTTGGAACGGGCTAAAAACACCACCTCGCAAGCCCAGCTAATGCCCCGCCCTCCACGCCGGAGGTCCGGAAGCGGACGTGATGGATACGGAAGTAGCCTGCTGTTGCCGAGGGGACGGGACGGGCAGATGCCAACATGGCAGCGGTTGGGGTTGGCGGATCATCCGCGGCGGCCGGGCCAGGGGCCGTGTCCGCGGGCGTGCTGGAGTCTGGGTCCGCTACAGCGGGTGAGATGACCTCAGGCAGAGAGCAGTTGGCCGGGCGGAGTTCGGGGACCTTGGGGGTGGAATGATCCTTGGCTGAAGTGACAGCGGCGTCTCGTGTGAACGGACCGACGTGTGGTGTGTGTGTCTGTGAGAGCGAGAGTGTGTGTGTGTTGTTGGAAGAAGGGAGGAGAGAACGGACCATTGTAGGTTACAGGTAGGAATCGGTCGTTTTGTGGGTGTTTGTGACGGGGGCCCTGGACTTGGAAATAAAGACCGTTATGAATATGTGGGGAAATTTCCTTTTGAGTAGGCTAAGACCACTGAGAATGTTCGGGGGCTTTGGGAATCTTTAATGGCAGAAGGGAGAGACGGATTCTGGGGTAGGAGTTTTTCCTTATAGAAGGGAGAGAGACGATTCTTAGGGTGGTGGCTTCTTCCTTATAAAGGGACCTTATAAATTGTCAGGGTGGGGCACATCCTTGTATGACTAGTGATCCATTTTGAGCATGAGGCTGTCCTTCATTGCATGGAGAGTATGTTCTGGGGCTGTCCCATCCAAATGGAGATAGTTCTATTTATGTTGAGGTGGGAGGGTTCCTTCCTTATAGGTCAGGGAAAGAACATTCTGAGGGTGCCAAGTCCTATATAGCAGAGAGAGCTCATTGTCTGTGGGTAGAACAAAGAATTGTTCTTTGGCTGGGAGGAGGGCGTACAGCAGTAAGGAAGTATTTCCGCATGTGATTAAGGTAATCAGACTGTTGGGGAACCATTGTAGGAGATAGGGAAGTAGGACAGTCCTTAGGAGGTGGGCATTTTAAACAATTGCCCCATTCATTATATCCTGATATTTCATTTATGGGACAGTCTTGCAAGTAGAAACATCACTTCCTAGAAATCCTCAATTTGCTCATCCACAAAATGGGATGTTTCGAAGTACCCTCAGAGACCAAATGCTGGGTGGAAATCCATGTGAATCCCATAGCGCAGTGCTAGGCATGCTGCGCGCATTCAGTAAATCCGGGCAATGCTATCTGGGAAAGAGCTGCTTCCCCGAGGAGGGAGAAGTGGGTATGTGTGTCCAGGGCCTGCCTAGGCCATTTCCTCACACCCTACCAGGGATTCCACAGTAAGAGCTGGCCAGAATGGGACCCTGTCAGACACTTGCCGGCAACGGAGGGTGTGGAAGCAGGTAGGGAATCAGATTCTCAGTTGAGTCAGGAAGGGCAGGCAGAGGAAGTTTCAGTGGCTGGAAGGATTTTGATTGAGAAGAGGGGGGAGGTGGGTGGCTAAACCCTGACAGCTTCTGACCCCATCTTTTTATGTCCCTTCCACTCCCTACAGCTCACCGGCGCCTCAAGTACATATCCTTAGCTGTGCTGGTGGTCCAGAACGCCTCCCTCATCCTTAGCATTCGATATGCTCGCACCCTGCCTGGGGACCGCTTCTTTGCCACCACCGCTGTAGTCATGGCTGAAGTACTCAAAGGTGTCACCTGTCTCCTGCTGCTCTTCGCACAGAAGAGGGGTATGAGTCAGGGAAGGGGCTGGGTGGTTGATCTGACTCCCTGTGTGTAAGCACGCCGGGGAGGCTTGTTATCTGGGAGAATCTTTCTGAAAGTGCTTGCGGAGTATGTAAGTGCCATCTAAGCTTCCTTGCCACTCCAGCTGTGCCAAGTTGCCTCGGCACTTGTGTGTCCCTTAAACCTGGGAACTGCAGTAGTGACATAGTCTGCCCAATAGGCAACAGAACACTCAACAGTGATTCAAAGATTTAACTTTATCCCATGGAAGCCAAGTGTAGTGGCACATGCCTCTAGTAACAGCATTTGGAAGGTGGAGGCAGGACGGTGAGGAGATAACATAGGAAGTTCAAGGCTAGCCTTGGCTACACATGCTTTTGTCTAAAAGAGAGAGAGAGAAAGGGAAAAGAATATGGGAAATTCCACTACACACACACACACACACAGTCAGAAAGAATAATAAACTAGTAAAGCTATCTTTCCACACATTATCCAGGCTCACAACTCTCAACTCTTGACCCCCCTTTCAGAAAGCTGGCTGCTCACTGCTGCGCTACATATCTTTTACACATCTGCACTTGTAAGCGCAGCTGGTCAGCATACTAAGGCATCAGTTAATTCCATCCATTCAAGGCTAACTGCAAAACAAGAAAACAAGCAATAAGTGGAATTATAATACCTAGAGTTGGTGTAGTTTAGTTGATAGAGTGCTTGCCTAGCATATATAAAGCTCTGGATTTTAGCACCACAAAAAACAGTTATGATGAATGCCTATAATCTAAGGCAGAAGGATCAGAAGTTCAAGGTCATCTTTGACTATGTAGTGAATGTTCAGGGATAGCTTGAGTTATCTGAAATTCTATCTAAAACAAGGAAGCATAATAAAAATCATACATGATGAAATAACAATAAAGCTAGGTATGGTGGTTCATACCTGTCATCTAAGGCAGGAGGATCATAAATTCCACGTCTTCCTAGGCTGAGGCGAGATCCTGTCTCAAAGCTGGGCGGTGGTGGTGCCCACCTTTAATCCCAACACTTGGGAGGCAGAGGCAGGTGGACCTCTGTTAGTTTGAGGCCAACCTGGACTATAAGAGCTAGTTCCAGGACAGGTGCCAAAGCTACAGAGAAACCCTGTCTTGAAAAACAAAACAAAACAAAAATCCAAATAAAAGGTGTTTGACAGGGAACATGATCCTGCCTCAAAACAAAACAAACAAACAAAACCCCCAAACCACCAATGAATAAAAAAGCCAAACCAGGCCTGATGGTGCAGGTCTGTAATCTTAGCTGCTTGAGAAGCTGAGGCAGGGAAATCATAAGTTCAATACTAGCCTGATCAATTTTGTAAGACCCAGTCTCAAAACATAGGACTGGCAAGATAGCTTAGCAGGTAAGGTAAAAGCTCTTGCCATGCAATCCGGACAGCCTGAACTCCATTCCCAGGACCCATGATGGAAGGAGAGAACTGACTTTAGCCTCTAAGGTGTCCTTAGACCTCCATACCATGGACTGTGCATGCCTACACTCAAACACATACATCACACATAATACAGATAAAAGGACTAGAAATGTAGCCCAGCTGTAGAACACTTGCCTAATTTGTTTAGGGCTGTAGGTTCATCCCCAGTAACACACACATACACACACATGTGCGTGCAAAAACCAAAACAATAGGGGCAGTGAAGATGGCTTCATGGGTAAAATGCTGGGCGGTGGTGGTGCACCCCTTTAATCCCAGCACTCGGGAGACAGAGGCAGGTGGATCTCTGTGGGTTCAAGACCAGCCTGAGCTAGTTCTAAGACAGCTAGGGCTGTTACACAGAGAAACCCTGTCTTGAAAACAAACAAGCAGAAAATAATAAGGTGGAAAGTAATAGAGGAAGACACCCAATATCAGTCTCTGTCGTCCACATATCCATGTGTGGATGAGGGCACCAGTCCGTCCACATTCCCACACACAAATCAGAAACCCAAAAGATTAAGTGGTTCATAAGTGTTCAAAGTTATAATGCCTTCTTTCTTTTCTTACTTTTTTTTCAAGACAGGATTTCTCTGTGTAACAGCCCTGAGTGACTTGGGACTCACTCTGTAGACCAGGCTGGCCTTGAACTCAGAGATCTGCCTGACTCCTGAGTGCTGGGATTAAAGGCGTGCTCCACAACCACCTGGCAACAATAGCTTTTATCCACAGTTTTATTATTATTATTATTAATTTGGGAGGTGGGCACCCATGTGCTATGCATGCATGCAAGTGGAAGTCAGTAAACAACTTAAAAGAACTGAATCTCTCATTACATCATATAGGTCTTGGGAATTCATGTCAGGCTTGGCAGCAAGTACCCTTACCCTGATGCACCATCTTGTTGGCCCTATTTTGATTTTTTGAGATCATCTCAGATAGCCCAGGCTGGTTTCTAACACTGTAGCTGAGCTTGGTTTTGAACTCCTGATCCTCTTGCCTCTACCTCCCAAATATGATTTTAGGTATGCACCACCATGATGACCCACAGATTTAATTTGCTCGCCTGTCTGGCTCTCCCTCTCTTTCCCCTTTTGAGACAAGATGTCACTGCACCAACTAGACCCATCTTAAACTCCAGCTGGTGGGCTAAAGTGTCCCTCCTCCCTCCGTCTCTCTGGTAGCTTGGGTTGCAGATACAGGCACTTCATCACTCTCTGCTCATTTTGCTTTTCCTTGAATTAGTTGGTGATAACCTCACCCCGAGTGTTGAACACTCGCTCAGCATGTGCTAAAGCCTTAGGTTCCATCCCCATCACTACAAAAGGAGCAGCACTGTGTGCTTGTAATCCTGGCACCTGAGTAAGAGGCTTTCCTCAGCTACATAGTAAGACTTTGAAATCTGAAAAACCAAAATAACCAGCAACCTAAACCTGACCTGATGTGGAGTTCTTGGTAGACCTATGTTTGAGTTTTTCCACTTTGTGTGTATATCTACAGAATTCTCCGCAGAAATATGGATGTGCTTTTTTATGATATGCAGTTATAGCTATGCAGGATTTGTGATGTGTTTTGTGGTACGCACATTACCTTCTTAACACCTGGAAAATACGAAGTCAAAAATCCATTAATTACTACTGAAATAAGTGCTGTGATGGGCAGGGGGAGAATTTTATGGATCAGCATCAGACCAGGCATTCCTAAGCTGACCCTGTGCAGTGTGGTTGTGGAGATCTTCTAGGGATAACTGACTTCAGGTAAAACCTAAAAGATGAATTCATCCTTGGTTCCATAGCAAGTTCAAGGCCAGTTTGGGTTCTATGAACTCTGTCTAAATGAAATAATAATAGTAAGATGTAGGGCTGGGTATATAACTCAATTGGTAAATGTGCTTAACACACTTGGGGGTCTTAGGTTTAATCTCAAAGACCAAAACTAAAAATGTGATGAGTTTTGCCGGGCGATGGTGGCGCACACCTTTAATCCCAGCACTCCGGAGGCAGAGGCGGCAGGCAGATCCCTGTGAGTTCAAGACCAGCCTGGTCTACAAGAGCTAGTTCCAGGACAGGCTCCAAAGCTACAGAGAAACCCTGTCTCAAAAAAATGTGGTGAGCTTTACATAGACCTTATTCCATAGGAAATGATACTCGGTTAATTGTAGAAATTCTCAACCAGACTTCTGTTTAATGGTCAAGAACTGGCATGGTGGCGAACGCCTTTAATCACAGCACTTGGGAGACAGGCAAGGTGGATCTGTGAGTTCAAGACCAGTCTTGGCTACAAAGTGAGACCATGTCTCAAAAAAAAAAAAAAAAAAAGGATTACATTCAACTGGTACATGTTGGTGCTTACTCAAGAAGCTAGGGCAGAAAGATGGAGAATTTGAGGCCAGCCCAGGCTCCATAGAGAGACTCTGTTTTGAGAAGAAAGGAAAAAGGGCTGCATTCATTCATAGGGCAGGGGCAGCTTAATGTGTCTAGGGCTGAGAAAAAGGATATGTTTGATGGAAAATGGATTCTGTCCTCAAGTGGCTCATGGACCATTAAGGAACTAGGGTGTTTAAAAGCCTTGGGTTGGATGTGTAGCTCAGTGGTGTGTGAGGCCCTGGACGAATCACAAAACAAACAAATCTAAAACCTCCCTTCTGAGAGATAGTTGTATACCTCTGCCCAGGAACCAGGAAGCTCTATGTCACATGCTTCTAGTTACTGGTAATTATTTCATTGTACAGACATGTCAAGTGCTTGCCCTGAATGGGTTCATGCCAGGGAAGTAGCTCTCAGGTGGGTAGACTGTGGTTGATAGCAGGCATAGTGGGATAGGTAATAGTTTTGTGACCGTTAGTATTTTTTTCTTACAGTGTTGGGGTAGAACCTGGGGACACACACATCTGCTAGGCAAGTGCCCGACCCCTGAACTATATCACCATTCCCCTTTGCAGCCGTTAAGTTCTGTATCAGAAAGGCTTTTTGTTTAAAAGACATAATCTCATTATGTAGTCCTTGCTGGTCTGGCACTGGCCTCAAACTAACCAGATCCACCTGCCTCCATCTCCCAGGGGTGGGGATAAAAGGTGTGTGCCACCAGGTCAAACTCAGAAAAAGTTCTTATGGGCATTGCTGTGCTACTGTAGAAGAAACTGAGCTGCTAGGAGGGGGAGAGTAGTTTGGCAGTGAGGGGAGGCAGGACTGGGAGGTGAGCAAAGGGGCCAAGCCTGGTCCCAATCCTCAGCAGACTTTCTTCCCACATAGGTAATGTGAAGCACCTGGTTCTCTTCCTCCATGAGGCTGTCCTGGTGCAGTATGTGGACACACTCAAGCTTGCTGTGCCGTCTCTCATCTATACCTTGCAGAATAACCTCCAGTATGTTGCCATCTCCAACCTGCCAGCTGCCACTTTCCAGGTGAGCCCCCAGCCCACCATAGCTCCTGGGGAAGTGGGAGAGGGAGACGGAGGGAGGTGGTCTGTAAAGAGCAGGAACTATGTCACTTTCAGAATATTCTTTGAACTCCCTCCACTTTGGCTTCCATATGTGTCAAAATTGGGAATAAGGGGGATGCTGGGAAAACTGAAAATATACCTAAGACCAGACATGGTGGCATATACCTGCAAACCCAGCACTCAGGAAGTTGAAGCAGGAAGATTTGGGGTTTGAGGACTACAAAAAGAAACTATTTCTTGGACTGGAGAGATGGCTTAGAGGTTAAGAGCACTAGCTGCTCTTCCAGAGGTCCTGAGTTCAATTCCCAGCACCCACATGGTGACTCACAATGAGATCTGGTGCCCTCTTATGCCATGGAGATAGAGCAAGGTATACATAATGAATAAATATTTCAAAAAAGAAACTATTTTAGGGGACTTAAGAGATGGGGCTCAGGGGGCTGGAGAGATGGCTCAGCGGTTAAGAGCACTGGCTGCTCTTCCAAAGGTCCTGAGTTCAATTCCTGGCAACCACATGGTGGCTCACAACCATCTGTAGTGAGGTCTGGTGCCCTCTTCTGGCATGCAGACATACACACAGACAAAATATTATATACATAATAAATAAATAAAAAAAGAGAGATGGGGCTCAACAGTTAAGAGTACTGACTGCTCTTCTACAGGACCCAGGTTTGAGTCCTAGCATATAGTACCCACAACCATTTGTAGCTCCATTTTCAGAGGATTTGATGCTCTCTTCACCTCCAAAAGCACTAGCTATGTTTGTGGTGCACAGATATTCATTCATGCAGGCAAAACACCTGCACGCATCAAATATTTCTTAAAGGCAGAAACCCTATCCAAAGAAAAATACCCGGAAAGAGTCTTTGAATGCTTATTGGTAAATCTGTAGCATCTATGGTTAGTCTTGTTTTCAGAAGGTTGATTAAAGAACCTAGATATAGCAAGGTTGCCTGGGTTCAAATCCCAGCACTGCTGCTTTCTAACTCTGTGATTTGGGGAGTCAGTCACTTACCTTTCTCTACCTTTATTTGCCCATCCTTATTTTATTATTTCATTTCGTTTTCTTTAGACAGGGTCTCATGTAGCCCAGGCTGACTGTCAACTTGTTATGTAACATGACATGCTGTGATCCTCCTGCTTTGACCCCTCAAGTGTTAGGATTATAGGTGTGTGTGTGTCACCATGCCCTGTTTATGATGAGGTGCTAGCACTTTGTGCCTGCTAAGCAAAACTACCAGCTAAGTTATATCTTCACCTTTTATTTTGTTTGGTTTTTGAGACAGGATCAGTCTGGCCTTGAACTCATTATTCTTATTCCAACTTCTAAGTGTTGTGATTGCAGTCATGAGCGACCATTGCCTAGCTTTCTCATTAAATTGCAGATTCTAGTGGTGTTCAGTTCCAGGGTACTTGTGAGGATTAGATGCACTATTTCTGATATAGTGCCCAGGCCATGCTGGACACAGTAATCTAAAACATTTTCTGGGTTTGTTGTGCTTGAAGACGACCCTCTTCATTGCCTGCTTGGAGGTGTTTTACATACATCAGTCTTACTTTATAGAGATGATGCCAGGCCTGAGAAAGGACAAGTGATTTGTCCCTATCACATAGCTAGGAAAATAGTATTGGGTTGTAGATTTATGTGTGACTCGGGACACTTAGGCACAGCTACCTTTTTGTAACTCACTGAGAGGTTCTTTTTCTTTTCTTTTTTGTTTGTCTGTTTTTCTTTTTTTCTATTTTTTTTTTTTAGTCTAGAATTCCTTTTTCAAGCCCTCTCAGATTTTACGTGGGGTTAGTTGAACACGGAGTACCAATTGTAAGGGGAGAGGGCCCGCTTGTTTTTCCCAGCTGCCTGGCTAGCTTACACCCAAAATAACCACACAGAAACTGTATTAATTAAGTTACTGCTTGTCCCATTAGTTCTAGCCTCTTATTGGCTAACTCTCACATCTTGATTTAACCCATTTCTATTAATCTGTGTATCACCATGAGGTTGTGGCCTACCAGCAAAGGTCCAGTATGTATCTCCGGCGGCAGATCCATGGAGTCTCCTATGTTTGCTTTTCAAGACAGGGATTCTCTCAGAGCTGGCTGTTCTGGAACTCACTCTGTAGATCAGGCTGGCCTTGAACTCACAGAGATCTGCCTGTTTTTGCCTCCTGAGTGCTGTGATTAAAGGCCTGAGCCACCACCACCCTGGCTCTGTAGTCACACCTTAAGTGCTGGGATTGAAGGCTTGCACCACCACCACTGCCTGGCCTGGAGGTTCTTTTTTTTCTTTTTTTGAGACCATTTCTAGCCCAGACTGGCCTCTGACTCTACATAACCAAGGATGACTTTGAATTTCTGATCCTCCTGCCTCCATTTTTCAAGTGCTGGGATTATAGGCATATACCAATGCATCTGGTGCTGGGGATGGAAGCCAGCAGTCTGTGTATGCTAGGCAAGCTCGTTACCTATTGACTGTATCCCTAGCCATCTGGGAGGGGCTTTGGGAACTAGTTAGCCACAAATTAGTCAGTAGTCAGTGGTTGGTTAATTTTATTGTCATGTACCCTACCCCTCCTTTTCATTATGCCTGAAGAGCCACAGTGGGTACTGTCCCCTGCCCCTTGCACTTCCTGGGAGTTGGGGCCAGCCCTCAGTGCCTTCCATATGCAACTTGCAGGTGACATATCAGCTGAAGATTTTGACTACAGCACTGTTCTCCGTGCTCATGTTGAACCGCAGCCTCTCACGCCTGCAGTGGGCCTCCCTGGTACTGCTATTCACTGGTGTTGCGATTGTCCAGGCACAGCAAGCTGGTAGCGGTGGCCCTCGGCCACTGGATCAGAATCCCGGGGCAGGACTAGCAGCTGTCGTGGCCTCCTGCCTCTCCTCAGGCTTCGCAGGGGTCTACTTTGAGAAGATCCTCAAAGGCAGCTCAGGTTCTGTGTGGCTGCGTAACCTACAGCTAGGCCTTTTTGGCACAGCACTGGGCCTGGTGGGGCTCTGGTGGGCTGAGGGCACTGCTGTAGCCCATCAAGGCTTCTTCTTTGGGTACACACCTGCTGTCTGGGGTGTGGTACTAAACCAAGCCTTTGGTGGGCTCCTGGTGGCTGTCGTTGTCAAGTATGCTGATAACATCCTCAAGGGCTTTGCCACCTCCTTGTCCATTGTGCTGTCCACTGTTGCCTCCATTCGCCTCTTTGGCTTCCACCTGGACCCTTTATTTGCCCTGGGCGCTGGGCTGGTCATTGGTGCCGTCTACCTCTACAGCCTCCCCCGAGGTGCAGTCAAAGCCATAGCCTCCACTTCTGCCTCTGCCTCCGGGCCCTGCATTCACCAGCAGCCTCCTGGGCAGCCACCGCCACCGCAGCTGTCTTCTCGAGGAGACCTCATCACGGAGCCCTTTCTGCCAAAGTCAGTGCTGGTGAAGTGAGAGCTGGTAGTGGTTGGGGGAGTCAGGATAGGGGGTTGGGTGGAGGGGGTTGGGCTGCTGCAGGTCCAAAGTTGTTGCCAGGGCCTGACTTTTGTGGGGTTGGAGGTTTTTTTTCTCCCATACTTCTAGAAGGATATGGAACTAGGGATATGAGCCTTCCTGGTAGATGGACCCCCCCCCTTTCCTGAAGGAGCTTTATTGAGCAGCTTCCTCTGACCAAGGCTAACCTCTTTGGGAACAGGGTTGGGGCACTGCTATTCCAGGCTTTTCCCCACGACCCTCTGCTGGAGATGTCCTGTCTCTCATGCCTGGGACAGTTCATCCCAGCCATCCTGCAGACTGGACAAAAGCCCTGCAGCTCTTCAGTAACGACTAATGACTACCCGTGGGGTTCCATTTCCTATTGTGTGAGGCCTTCTCTCCTGCACCATCACCCTGGATCATGTCAACAGCTTGGTCTCTGATGTGGCTTTTGGGCAGTTTCTCTGGTACAGAGACCCTTGAAGATCGGCCTGTTGTAAGTGCCTGGAGTGAGGAGAGAGGCACAAGCTGAGAATTTTGCATCAGCTCATGTTGGGGAGGGTGCAATAAGCACCATTCGCTGTTCAGTAGTTTGGGCATTTGTGATAATCAGATTACTAATGATCCAGAGTGTTGGGGAAATGGGGAGGGGAAATCCTGAAGTGGCTGAATCTTACGTAATTGAAGAGACGGATGAAGGATTGATTATCTTCTGAAACATCCAGAGAGGAAAAATAAAGCTGCCAGTCCCACCCTCAGCCCCATTGGCCGTTTAAAACACCCTTACTTCATGGCGGGTGTCAGAATTGATGAGTCATGGAACCTGCACCCCCGCACTCCCCAAAGCTTATTAACTCCTTAACTGTATCCCAGATGTGTGTGCCTGTGTGTGTGTGAGTGAATGTACGCACGCGTGTGCATAAATACACGCATGGAAGGTGCCTGGGCTGTCTTTGCTATTGTAAATAGGGCCATTGGATCTTTATTTTTGATTAATTTGTTCTGATTTTTGGGAGGGTGTTGTTTTCTAAGGAACTGTAATGGACATGTCAGGATACCCAATGCCAAATAAAGATGTTGTATTTATTTAGTGCATGTGTAGCTCTCTGACCCAGGGCCTGCTCTTTCCACATAAGCACCGATATTAACCCCAGGATTACTAGTTTACTACTACCACCTTCGCTTGCTCGGGGAACCCTCTTGCCAGCCCACCCCAGCTTTCTGTGTTTCTCTTTCCTTCCCATGTTCACCACAGGTTGCTCACCAAGGTGAAGGGCTCGTAGCTGCTGGAATTGAAGATGCTGGCCTGCCTTCGTTCTCCCTTCTTGCCCTGGCCCAGCTGGGACTAAACTCTTATCAGTATTAGGGGTAGGGTGAGGTAGACATGGGAACTCCCTGTCCCCACCAACCCTGCCCCACATAGGGCTGACATGACTAACCTGTTAATGGGCCCACCTCAACTCCCGCTACTTTGCAGTATTTCTTAGGTGAGTTTCTGCAAATAAAATGTGTTTTGCATCTTGTCAGCTTGGGTTGGGAAGCCTGGAAAGGAAGGAAGCACTCAAGCCTCCTGAGTATGATCCACAACAAAGCTTTTATTACAAACAATTAGGGGGGGTGGGAGTGTAGCTCATTGGTGGGATACTTATTCAGCATGTGCGAAGCTCTGGGCCCTACATCCAGAGCCCCAAGGAAGAAAGCAGGAAGGCAAACTGCCAAAGCTACAGCAAACAAAGGGTCAGTCCTGCTGTTTGGTTCGGGAGGCCTCAGCGTTGGCGCGGAGCACAGCCCCTGGGGAAGGGTATGGGCGCTGCTGGAAGAGGGGCCCAGCTGCTGTCGTGTCGGCGCCTGTCTTGGCCTCATTCCTCTTGGGTAGTCCTGTTGACCATGTGCCCCTGGGGACAACAGACAATTAGAGGACAGGAAAAGGGTATAGTGGACATTTTCCCAACTGCCCACGATTAAAGAATGGGAAGAAATACAGGAGGAAGGTACTGTTCACAGGTATAGCGACAAGCATGAAAAGCCAGGATTGTCAGGGGGTTTCACTTACCGGGGTGCATCTGAGTACGAGCTGGGATCCATAGGGTCTAATTCTTCATCTTTCCGGCTCGCCGCTATAGAAATAAGTAGTTGGTTAAATTCTTCACTTAAGGTCCAACGAGCCCCAGATCACTGAGTCCCTTCTCCCAGGAAGAAGTGTTGCCAGGGGCTACCATGGCCCACAGCGCCATTCTCCAGGAGCCAGGGTCTAGATATGCGTTCCTTACATTCCTATGCCCTGGCACCTCACTTGACTCATCCAAGTCCCAACCTGATCTGCTTACCCTTCTTGCTCTTGGGGTAAGGAGCTAGCTCCTCTCTGCGATGGTGGCGCCGGTCTTTGCCATCTTCCCGGTCTGCCTTGTCATACCCCCGGTCCCGATCTCGTTCCCTGTCCCGATCTCTCTCTCTGTTGTCCACTTTGTCATAGCTCCGCTCTCGATCAGACTTCTCATGGTTTCGGTCTGCCTTCTCATGGCTCCTGTCTGGCTTCTCGTGACTTCGGTCTGACTTCTCATGATTTCTGTCCAACTTCTCAAGATTCCGGTCCAACTTGTCCTCAGCCTCTGCGGTAACACAGAAGTCAGAAGCCCTCTCTTCTACATATGGTCTCCTCAGCCCCTCTTTGAGACTGTAAGAATCACTGAGATACCCATGCATTTGCCAACTCACCAGCATTATTGGTCCTCAGTTTCTTGGCAGATTTAGAAACGACAAAGTTGGGGTCATGTGGTGAGAGCCACGACACGAGGTCTGTCTCGACATTCCAGTAATAGGGGAGTCCACTATGGGCAGTGAGAGGGAAGGGAACGTCAGCACAGATGTCCCTTATGTCAACTGTTTCCCTGACCTCTGCTTAGATCTTCTCCATGGCTCCATAGCAGATACATTCCTCATTAACACAGGAAGGGAAAAGCCAGCCATCCCTCCTGCCTTATGTTGGTAGGCTCACCAAGAAGGGTCAAACACCTTGTACCAATTCGGTGGCAGACCCTCTAACCGGGTGGACTCATAGTCGACAGGATCATCATCATAGTCCTCAGCAATAATCTCTTCCTCTGGCTCTGCAAGAACATGGAGACAGAAAAGCAATTTAAGAACCCCGGGGAGCCAGGCGGTGGTGGCGCACGCCTTTAATCCCAGCACTTGGGAGGCAGAGGCAGGCGGATCTCTGTGAGTTCGAGACCAGCCTGGTCTACAAGAGCTAGTTCCAGGACAGGCTCCAAAACCACAGAGAAACCCTGTCTCGAAAAAGAAAAAAAAAAAAAGAACCCAGGGATTCTCTTCCTATACTCAGGGCCTGGGGCCATAACCACTCACATCTACACCACTGTACGTAGAAAACAGAGCTATGCATTGACAGTTGATAGAGAATCTTCAAAAACCTACCAGTTCCTGAGTTCAGATATCATGTGGCCCTGTATCATCCAAACCTATTCAAATGAAATGGGTTTAAATAGCAGGGGGGTTGCCTAAAAACAATGGGCTACCTATTCACCTTCTGACCTGTGATGGGTTTCTGAGTCATGTACAGCAAGGAATTAATTCAAATATTGCTCTGAATCTACTCCCAAGGGCTAACATATAGTAAGCCTGCAGCAAGATACCTGGTGATAGAATAAAAATGGTGTTTATTATCAGCTCAATGCCTGGCTATCAGTAGGCCCATAACAGATTTCAGCTGTGGGTATAACCAACAATAAAATGCATATGCCATGCCAATTGGTGGTGGCACACACCTTTAATCCCAGCACTTGGGAGCCAGAGGCAGAAGGATCTCTGAGTTCCAGGACAGCCAACACTACACAGAGAAACCCTGTCTCAAAAATCCAAAAACCAATGCACATCCCAGCCCAGTGACACCAAAAGAAATCTCACGTATGATTATCCATATTTCTATTCCTAATAAAAGATATACTATCAAGCACCCGGCCTGCTGCGCGTGCTTTTGCAAGGCCACCTGCTCCTTCCCATGCGGAGCCTGAAGAGTCACTATGAGCAAGGCCCACCCTCCCAAACTGAAGAAATTTATGAACAAGAAGTTATCAAGTTATCATTGAAGTTAAATGGTGGCAGACATGTACAAGGAATTCTTCAGGGCTTCGATCCCTTTATGAATCTTGTGACTGACAATGGAGAGGGCCACTAGGGCAACAGAATAACACCAGCATGGTGCTCATACAAGGAAACAGGAGCCTTGGAAATAGTCTAAACAATGGCTGCTCAGCAGAGGAGTTCACATCCTTCCCCAAAGGACTGTTTGACTGGGGTGTAGAATTGGGTCATGTACATTTTCATAACAAAACAAACTTCTGTGATACTCAGAGTGCAAATAGATATATGCTTTCAGCAATGGGCTCAGTACTCAAGAGACTTAAACAAAAATGATATGGGGTTTGCCTAAAACCCTGGATTCAGACCCTAGCTTCACTAAAAAAAATTAGCACTATTAGGTACAAAGTCTGTGGCTGGCCCAAAGTAGTCCTGTAATAGATGTCAGTTATCCATACAGTATTATGATGCACTTTCCAGTGCCTAACACACCATATGGGTCAAAACTCACGCCAAATTTTATTATTATTGGCAAAAATATGTAATTAGGCCGGGTGGTGGTGGCGCATGCCTTTAATCCCAGCACTCGGGAGGCAGAGGCAGGCGGATCTCTGTGAGTTCGAGGCCAGGCTGGTGGTCTACAAGAGCTAGTTCCAGGACAGGCTCCAAAACCACAGAGAAACCCTGTCTCGAAAAACAAAACAAAAAAAAATGTGTAATTAGCAGCTAGTAATACAGTAAACCTGTAGCATGGGTAATAAAAACCCAGAAACAGAAATTGGGGTTCAACCTGAAGGTCAGAAAAGCAAAGCAGCCAGTCACTGGCTCTTACCTCTGCTAATGAGACAGACTGAGAGCTGTCTCCTCCTGTTTTATAATCCTCTCTAGTTCTGGGATTAAAGGCGTGCACCACTACTGCTAGTGTGGCTACTGGGATTAAAGGTGTGTGCCATTGCTGCCTGCTCTGTGAGGCTGGCCAGTGTAGCTGTTTTACTTTTCTGATCCTCGGGCAAGTTTTATTTATTAAAATACAAATGAAATGCCATTTCATAAACCTAATTGATCAATGATCATTTTAGACTATTGATATGTGCCAGGCACTTAGGTGGCCCCAAATAAATGTTAATAGGTTATCATGCCTATCATCACAGTACATCTGCTGAGTTAAAAACCACAAACCATTAACACCTTGTCACTATATTTGAAACAGAGACTGCAGAATATATCACTCTTATTAAATATTTATTAGTATAAAATAAATACTGGCCCTTTAATCCCAGCATTAGAAAAGCAGAGACAGACAGATCTTTGTGAATTCAAAGCCAGCCTGATCTACAGGAGTTCCAGGCCTGCCAGAACTATAGGGTGAGACCAAGACCATGTCTCAAACATTAATAGCAAGTAGTTACCCGTTTGGATTTTGTTATTTTTGGAGTGTGTAGAAAAAAATATCTGGCTTGGAGTGCTGGGTTTTAAAGGAGTGTGCCACCACCACCAGCGCAGCTTAGTTTTAGTTTCTGAAGACTGGGTCTCGCCAAGTTGCCATGGCTGCCTTGATCTCCTGGGCTCAAGTCATCTTCCTATCTCAGCCTCCTAAGTAGTTGAGACTATTGGTACATGCCACCATGCCCACTTTATTCATGAATTAAATTAAACTCTATCCTCCAGTCTACGCTTCACACAGTACTTACTATGCAGTAGTAATGGATACCAGGAAATTATATTGGCATTAAGATGCCTGCCAGGCCATGCAAGCTATCAAGTATTAACAACAAAGCCTCAATAGTAGAGCACATCCAAGAGTTTGAATTTGACCCCAGCAACGCAAGCGCGGAAAAGGTGTGTGCTTCGGGGCTAGGGACGACGGTTCGCGCCTGCTTAGCATGCACCTGGGTTTGACGGGGGCGGGAGGGGGCAGGACCGGGTTAGAGAACAGAACCACAGACGTCTGGTAACACCGGCACATGGTAGACCCTTCTGTTAGTCGCTTTCTCA